ATCCATTTATATTTTTTTAATGCATAATTTGTGTCCAGGGAAATGTATTTTTTCATGCTCTCGAGCTGGAAATAGGAGAAATAGGAAATAGTTTTTCTGCCCAGCGTACAATGCTGCTCCTCTGATAGTGCCTCCTTATTTAATTTTGATTTGTATTTTCTTGTTTTTAAAGCCATGTGTTTTCATTGCCCTTGACTTAAATAAATAAAAAAATTATTCTCCAGACATGCTGCTTATCCTTAGCAAAAGACCATGCTGTCATGAAGCTTTTGTGGGGAGCAACTCATAAATTGAACTGGGTTCTGTGGGAACAGCAGTTAAACATTTATCACATTTAATTTGAATAATAAATGTAAAATACGAAAATACGTTCTTGTGGCTGCTTGAAAGATATTCCTTTTTTCATTCTGAAATGAGATTCGGAGAAGAGTAAAAACTTGAGAAATAAACTCTGCTTTCTCAGATCTTTGATGATTTTGAGAAAACACGGCCTGAGGGATGACCGCATTTTTCAATAGTGTCAGTCCTGGAACTATAATTAGTAAATAGTTATTTGCCTGTAACTTTCTTTGCCTCTGGGTTTCTGAAAGCTCAGATGTTTCTTGGGTACCAATTCTAAGGGAGTGGGGTTGCTGAGTGCTTTGCTGCTCTTTAACACTTGCATATGTTTGGCAGCTCTGCAAGGAATTGCTGGAGAGTGAGGAAAAAAGGAAAATTAAACCTTTTCTGACTGATCAGACTTCTTCCACCTCGCTTGCAAGATTATATATTTAAATACATACTTTGATTTGAAGAGCAGAGGCAGAGCTAGAGCACACGTGTTTTTGTACCTTGTAGTCAAATAGCAGTGTCTCTCAGCAGTTTTGAATTTACTGTCTTGAGGGTTTGGGTTCACCTATATTTTACTTGAGAATCCTTCATGCATCTTAGATCAGACACTGCAATCACAGGACTGATGTGTGACCTATGCCATAAAAAATTCTGTGAAAATAAATTCTGATTGAGATCTTGAGCTGGGGAAAATCTGCAGGCTAGAAGTGCTACCGGATTTGCATTTCATAGTCTGCCATGTGTAGTCTGCCTTTTTCTGAAGGTCTCCACCAAAGTTTCCTGCATCCGAGAACACCAGGTGACTGTTGTGTTGGTTCCAGCTCACTGAGCCAGCCATGGATGCGAGGACCCTTTATGCTAGGCACTGTGCAAACACAGCATGAAATAAAAGACCTTCCCTCAGTTTTACTGCAATTTCTTGTCACCATAACTGTCACAGGGCAGATGTGGCACAGATGTTGCATGTGTTGGTCCTAATATGCCTTCTACTTTAACGGGTACCAAGGTAGGCAGCTTCTTGAGAAAAATGTTTGGAGTGTTTCTTAGCTTTTCAGCGGTGGTTGTGAATAGGTTTTAAATCTTTAGGATGCTCAAGTGACAAGAGAGTTTAGCTTGTTTCTTATTTATAGAGTTCCATATGTGAATGTAGCACTTCCTGATGCATATGAAAAGAGGCTTCCTGCCCAGGAGGGACTGTCACCTTTCTTGACCTCTTCTTTTTTTAATATGAGCTTGTCTCTTGTGCCCTGGATTTAAACAAGAAGCAGCATCGTTGATCAGGCAGTGCCTGGCTGATGAGCTCTCCTGCAAAGACTTCAGCAAAACGTCTGGAGTAAATCTACCTGGGTCATATCTCACCATTAAAGTCATACAGCACAATACATGTAGATGAGCCTTGTCTTTGCTGCCGCTTTGCCTGTGGGCTGTGCAGGAATATGAGCCTGGTCTTCTGTGAAGAAGAGGAGTGTGTAACTGCTTCCATAGGATTCTCTTTTCCCATCCTCTTAATTTCATACTGTTGCCAGAACTACTGGCTGTAGCCCTGGTGAGGCTGTAGCTGCTGGTGCGGTCATCACAGCCTTGGCTCTGGAGCAGGGCAAAACAGCCCTGTGGCTGGGACTGGCATCGGGTAAAAATGACTGCTCAGCATCACTTGCCTTCAGTGGAGCTGGTAGCGAAGGCGGAGGTTCTTTGGGAGGTTTAATGATAAACTGGCCTCTCATTTATTCCTGGGCAGGGTCTTCATTAATTTCAGCAGGAGAAAGCTGGAGAGTGTAGAACTACTTAATTCTTACCAGTTTGCAAACACCATGTAATGCAAATACGTACTGGGAGGTGGTGAACTTTTCAGCTCAGTGGATAACCTCCCAGTATTGCTGCGGCTGCCTTAGATGTGCAGGCAGGGTGTTTCTGTCCAAATCGATGCCTTCAGCTTGGACTTTTTGGGGTTTATAACCAGGAAAGGCTGCAACATTAATCTTAATTAAAGAGAGATGATGATTTATTCGGCAGGGCTGACTGGTGTGCTTGTATGCACAATGCCTTTCCCAGTGGGTTTTGGTCTAAACCAAAGGATCGGAGAGAGCTGCTGTAGTAAAACTGCAGGAGAATGAGTAACGTATTGATTTGATACCTGGGGAGGAATTGGGCAAAGTAGCAGTGGATATATGCAACATGACGTGCTTCTCCCTCCAAGCACCTGCTGTTCCACCAGCGCAGCGAGTTTTCTGTTAGTGGCAACACCAACAAGGCAGTAGTTAAAGCTGTCACTGTTTCCAGAATCCAATTTTTCAAGAGGTTTATAACTCTGCCATTATAAGGAGGGGAAAAAAAAAAAAAGAAAATTCACTGAAATTGGCTAAACAGCCTTTCCATCTGGAAAAGACACGAAATACACCTGCTTCCAAGCTATCGGTAAAACTGTACAGATGCTTTAAACAAAGTTCATAATACCATTTGGTGTCATGTTGAAAGTGGCCTTTGTGGCTTTTTTAGTCCAATTCTTTCTTTTTTGCAGTAAGTTCATAGGCTAGAATATCCTTATTTGAGTCCAGTTTTCTAAACAAAAGCTTCTAAAAGAAGCAACCTGTAGTTTCACTTTTCCCCCGTTATGTTCAGCCTTAGTTTCAGTGAAGTTTAGGTTTAGCCTTCTGTAACTCAAGACGTAAGTAAAACTTTAAGACACTTGGATAGTTAAAAAAATTGAGGTGAAGGAAAAAGTTTAAAAAAAAAAAATACTTAGGATTAAAGAGATCTGCTCATAAGTCAATGTTAGATTAATCCCTCCTGTACAGCCTCTGATTGTGATGAGTTTTGAGCAGGAATTTGCATGTGTCACCCCACTTAGCACAACTATATTTGTCTACGTTGATTGGCAACACCATGTATTTATCTCAGAAAATACACAAATGCTTCACATGCATCAGCCTGAAGTAGGAAGGCTGAGCTCTGGACGCCTTGATTTAGAAGAATGCGAGTCTGTTGGTTGAATTAAAGCATCAAGGACATTTATGCTGAAGGTAGGGGCTGACTTGCAAATGTGCTTTTTCCCTTCTTACAGTTAGACCATCTGGTCAGCAGGGCTCGGTGGTGGGAATCCTGCCTGCGGAGTGGGATAACTTGTTAACTTTAAGCCCGTGCAGCCTGTCGTGCTTTTATATTAAAGATGTATCTTCTAGTAACTTTAAATTCCTAAATGTGTCCTGAGGTTGTTTTGAGGATGACCCCCATTTCAGCTCAGCCTCTCCCCTCCACCCCGTGCATCCCAAACCTCCTCCTCCCCTTTTTGCATGTAAAAACTTCTGGCACTTACAAAATATGTTTCGTAGGTGCAGGTTTTGTTTCTGTGCCTCAGTGACGTGGTGTTTGCAAATAGCTGAATTTGTAATGAAGTGTAGTGCCTGGGGCTGCGTGTTCTGACTTTGATTGGCTTAGTGCCTTGTTTTGAATGCTGCAATCTGTAATACACGGGATGCAAGAACAACAGCCTCTTACTTCTTCACATCCACCCTGGACACATTTTCCAGCCCAGCTGGAATGAGACATGATCAAAATTAGTTCTGTAATTAAGAAAACGTTGAACCTCTTGTGTGTTAGGCAAATGAGCTAAAGCTTTTACCCAAGCAATTAAGTGTTAAGTTTTACTGTAAGGTGAATGTGAACTAGATAATTTCTCCAGCTAAGCTTCCCATAATCATTCCATTAGTATGAATTCAGTACAGTGCAGAGGGGAGGCAGCATAGCATGATGGATAAGGTTATTATTATTATTGAAGATTATTGCAGTACAAATGAGCAGTGAAGCCTCCAGCTGAGGTTATGGTCGTATTTTGATAGGAATTTTACTTTATGGTAGGATAAAAGACAGACTTTGCTCTGGAGTGGTCATGATTTAAATAGACCAAAAGATGCAACAAAAAAAATATTTCTTTGCATAGATACAGAACTGAGATGCAGAGAGGTTAAATGCCGTGCCTTCCATGTGGCCAGTGGAAGCCAAACTTGATCTTGTGGCAAAGGCACCAGGGTGTGTGTAAGGTAGAGTATGGCCAGTGGGAAACGTAAGCCCCGTTCCACTTTGGAAGGGTGTGTGGGAAAGGGTTGTGGTTAGTGCCGTAATACGGATGCTGAGTTACTTGCAAATCCTGTTTTCATTTCCTTCATCTGCTCTGTGTCTGTGGGTTAGTTATTTTAATTTCATGGCTCTCGCTGTCTTCTGTGTGGTATCAAAGTACTCAACTGAGTTTGCAGAGTATTCTGAGATCTAGGGACAAGAGTGCTCTCAAAGTGGTAATTTGCTGCTTCTCTTGTTGCAGTATATTAAATTTACGTAAGAATTTTTATCTGATTATCTGACTAGGGAACAAACTTTTAAAGGGGGTGGCTTCTTAGCTAAAACCGTATTTCTTGATGTTGTATTTATCTTATCTTTCCACTTAAGGATGCTTGCTGGGAGTGGTATTGGTCCAGTTTCAATAAGTCATGTTTATAGTGTTTTGTTTTGGGTTTTTTTTGGCTTTTGTTGACCAAATCAATATGATAGTTTATTTAAGGCAGCGTGTCTCAAGATTATGGGAAAAGGTCAAGGCAATTTCAAAAGCAGTTTGTCTTTGTATTTTGTTTCTCAGCATGGAAGCTGTTACTAATGTTTCTGGCTTTGTGTTTCTGTAGGCATTCTTGCCGACGTTTGTGTACTCATTGAAGGTGTCTCCACTCATAGAAAAAATAAGTGACCACAAGGATTTTAAGAAGCTTCTCAGGACACGGAATAATGTACTAGTGCTGTATTCCAAATCTGGTAAGTCCTCCTTTTTTGTTTTTTTTGATGTCACAGCTCTTTGTGCCCAGCAAGGTGTGTGCGTTTGAACATCTGTGTGCATGTTCGGTTGCCTGTGTACATGCTCAGATGACTAAGCTCTTCGCCCTTACTTGCTCTTTGTTCAGTGTTGCCTTATGTGACTACAAGGGCTTCTTCAGGACCAGTGTCCTTTGTCCTAACTCAGAGGCTCCTGATGTTTCAAGATCGGAGTCGTCTTAGTTTGGTCTTCTAATTGCTCTGTCACATTGGCAAAAATGTACTTTATTCTGGCTTTGTCTCCAAAACTGGCTGCTCATAATAGCTATCAGCCAGAGCTTTCTGGTGTGTGTATCACAGTAGTTTGCAAATTTCGATTTCCTGGTGACGCTGAAAAGCTTAATGAATAGTTACAGTACTGAAATCAATCCATCGTTACTTCTGACAGCTTTGGGTGTCCCATGGTTGTCTTTCAACTTTAATTAACAAAATATAAAAATAAAAAAATAGCTGCTTGTGTAAGAGGGAGAAATGGCTCATTTCATGTCATGCCACCTGTCCCCTTGAATCTCTTTGCTGTCTTCTCTCTCATTCAGGCTCTCCTTTCCGGCTGTTCATTCTTGCTCTTACCTGTCTGTTTGCTCTTCCTTTTGCTTTGTTCTGCTCCTGCTGTACCTTTTCTCCTTTGTCGTCGTCTTTGTTTTGGTGTTGTTTTGTGTGACACCATGTAAAATGAAGAAACAAACTTTAAGCTCCATACACAAGTGCAGAATGCTTTTGTGGATGTGGAAGTCATTGGACAGCAAGAAGTGAAATGTGTCACTAAGGTGACTTTCCTTAGTGCTGTATTGCTTTTGTTGTTGCTTCCTTTTCCTTCCTGCAGGCAAGCAATACAAGGTAATGCTTTGTTTGGGGGTTGGGTACTCCCTTTCTCACCTGTTGCAAAGGTTCTATCTCAGTTAAACACAATGACGGTTGGTAGAGTTGCTCTGGGTTTATAGTGTGGCAAATTGGAGCGGTATGTGATGACCCAATATCCTCCCTCCCCGCCAATATCAGAGAATTTTGCAGACAAAAATGTGCAGATGCTCAGATAAGTAACTTTGTTTCCTAAAGATATGCTTATTCCAAAACAGTTAAAATGATATATGTGACTTAATTTTTGTTAAAATATTTGCGTTTTGCTATAGTGGGGAACTTTGAGTGCTCAAACTTGGCCAAAAGGTTTTGTAGTAACAGGTTCAAAGCAAAAGTCATAAAAGAGTTTCTAACGCTTTTTGATTTTGAAAGGAACACTTTAGATAAAAAAAAGACATCTGCATTATTCAGCTTTTTAAAGGGAAAATTTTCTTTTTACGCTTAATATTTTAAGTGGTGGTTGCTTTCGTTTTTAGAAGCACAACCAGAACACTTCAGCTCTGACACTCATCAAATAAATGTTGCCCTATGGGCATTGTTCAAAAGCCGTGTTGTGGAGATTTCTTTTTTTCTGTTTTTGTTACTTAATTGGTTGGTTTTAGCAGTCTAAAGCATTGCATGCAGAGCTGACTCTGGGATTAATGTTTCTTCCTAGAACAGCAATCCTTGCACAATTAGAAATCTCTTGCCTAACTGTCATGCAGGAAGAGAGGAGAGGAAAAAAGAGATAGGAATTTGGAGGTGCAATTCTAATCCCAGATATACAACCCCCAGCTGTGATGAGATGTTGGTCAGCATCTGATCATACTGCTGGAACAAAGGCTTTGCTTCTCAGCTGAGCAAAACTAGATGAGTATTTCTATCTCATGCAGAAAATCCATTGGTTTCAGGAGATGTCCTCATTTAGAAGAGATGTTTAGTTCACTCTACTGGCTGGGTATCCTGCCAGGGCTGCTCAACTAGTGAGCCTTCTGGGACAAGTCTGTCCTATCCGGAATGCTTATTTTTTAAAGGGTGTTTGTCAAACTGTTCCACTCTAAGTACATGCAAAGAATTCCCTCACATGTCTATGTCCCTGTGTTGGAGAGAGGTGGCAGTTGCATGTTATCAGTATAGGAGAGTTCTTGAGAGCTAACGTGTGTGGGCTGGTGCCTCTGATGGCATCAGGCCCAAGCAAAGGCTGTCAAATACAAAGAAGCTGTTTCTGGCTCAGGAGATTGTTGAGATAAAAATTGTGGAGGCTTAGAGATTATTTGAGGGGGCTATCACTACCCACTGGCTCTACTTGTCTTCTCTGACCTATATAGGCCTTCACTTTCTCAAATGTTGGAGACAAAATATTGGTCTCTAGAGGCATTCGGTCTGACCCAATATAGCTGTTCTTATATTCAGTTAGTTGAAGTAGTTGCGGAGCAGCAGCAGTTTAAATAGATCTGGAAGAGGCTCTGGGTTTCTGTTTTCTGTTTATCGAGGCAGGAAGCAGTTTCTGTTAGATTTTTTTGGCAATTGATACTTGTTTGAACCTCTATATCTTTTCTCTCCCGGGCTCTTGTCCCGTTTTTCTTCTGTTTTTATTTTTAATACCATTTATAAGACTGTTTTAGAATGGAAGTGTTTTGCAAAATCTACACATGTGGCATGGCATTATAAAAATCTCAGTTGGGTATTTATAATACAGCCAGTTCTTGGAAGGACCTTTTCTGGGTGCTTTCTGCTAATAGTTTTGAGCTCCTCATGACTGTTGGTTTGGGTATCTCCCAGGGTTATTACGAGAATAACAGTGTGTTATTTTCTGTGTATGACAGAGATAGAATTGAGGCGGTCAGAGGTGCTGAATGACTTGCCCTTACAGCTGATGAAGGTCCTAAATGAAGTTGCTGTAATTAGCAGGCAGTGGTGCAAACTGGTTAATGCCCAGCCACAGGAAAAAGGCAGTGTTGGGATGGAAGCTGGTTTGCAGGAGAGGACACAGTATAGCTCCATAAATGTAGGTCAGGGAGCATGCCTGGAGGTATGAATTTCAGTGTGTTGTTTAAGGGGTGTGGAGGGAAGGAGCCACCCAACTTCAGCTGCAGCCAGCATTCCTTCTAGTTTACAGAAGATTTTACTGATCCCTCTCATACTGGTTTCTTCAAATTAGACAAAATGTTCTTCCAGTGCTTCAGAACAAAGGAATGCACAATTGTGTTTTTCTAAGTGGAGTAACAATGCTGTCGTTGATTTTTTTTTTTTCTTCCCCCCCCCCAGCTGCTGCTGCAGAAAGCTCACTCAGGTTACTGTCCAGTGTGGCCCAGGAGGTGAAAGGACGAGGTACTATAAGCTGGATAGACTGTGGGTATGTGTCATACTGTTTTTCTCTTTTTTTCTTTTTCCCTCTCCCCTTTTGGCTTTTATTGCTGACTTAGCTTTTTTGATGGCTCTGAAATTTTTTGCGTGTAACTGAACCCACATCGTTCTGTGCAGTTTCTTCATAGCTGTAGGGAGCCTACATCTTACCATCCTCTCTTCCTTTGGACCAGTGGTGGGGAATCATGTTTTCCTTATGGCTGTTGTCACTTCTTTGACAGCATGTTTTTGAGCCTGAAGCTGGAGACCCCAGCTAGCATCGCCTTTCATGGGGGGCACGTAGCATGGAAACTCTGACTGCTCCGGCTTTCCCACAAGCTGGGGGAGGAGGAATCCCACATGTTGTGCCTCAGCTGGAGGGCAAGGCAGTTCTGCTCCGACAGCAAATGTGGCACAAGCAGTAGGGCTGTTTGCTTGGTTTTGAAGTGTCCAGCCATTTGTGTTTCTCAATAAAATGTGCTTTCTTTTAAAGAACTTCCTCTGTGTTTGTATAGGTTCATGGCAATTTTTAATGTGAAGGCAGGGAAACTTGTTTTTGTAAGTGGTTGCTTGTGTGGGGAGGAATGAACAGGTGTGTACTTTCTCGTTTGCAGATGTGAAAGCCTCCACTGTGGTTCTGCTCAATAACACATTGCTTGTGGTTTTAGCTTGTGTATCGTAGTGCCTCTCTGCCTCTGCAGCTTTGAGAGCTTTGCCTGCAGGTGGCAAATTCCCCTTCCTGCACTGCAGAGGAACAGCTTGCTGCCTACCTGTGTGTTTAGGTGGATTGCCATGGTATGAACAAATTGTACACTGTGCACAAATCTAAGTCAGCTCTGAAAATCATGTGGCTCTCTTAAAATTATACTTTTGAAACCAACTTCTGTCCATCAAGCAGTGACCCAGAATAAGTCATTGGTAAATCAAAGTTAACGTGCTTTTGTTGTTGGTTAACCTGTCTGGCTCTCCCCCTGCCACCAGGCAGGTATCTCTCCTGTGGAGTCCTCTGCTTCTGCCTTCTGTTTGCATTCTGCTGGGCTTGTCCAAATGCACAGATGCTTTAATCTCTGCCCAACTGATGGGGACAGTATTCCACGTCATCTGCTGGCAGAAAGCAGGGCTGCTCCTCGGAGGTCAGTGAAGCCTGTACCACTTCCCACCTGCTGAAAAGCCAGCAAATAAATTGTATTGACCCTGATGAGGAGAAGGTTGCGCGGAGATCTAGCATACCTCTGAAATCCAGTCTCCTTTTCTGATGAAAGCACTGATAAACAATTTTTGGTTGTCAGTAATGATGGCTAGCAAATAGGATACTGGGCCAGGTTCTTGGCTTTAGTTTCTAATTGGCCCCGTTTGTGACTGTGGAGTGGTCCCTACCTTTTTGTGTCTTCTGTTTCTCTCTTGTTTTAGGCTACCTCTGTGTTGGGGGACTTACTGCTTACCGTGTGTGTGCATGTGGCACGTGTGTACAACTGCTGGAATGATGAGACTGTTCCTCTGGCCCTTCAAGATGCTGCTGTAATACAACTAAGCGATAACCATTTCCAGGATTTATTTTAGTTCTGGGCTGGGGAAGGAAAGATTCAGCGTTTAGGACTTCAATTTGAAATCCAGGGACGTTTTGGCACTTAGTTCAACAGATCAGTCTCTGCTCCTGAGTTTGTAAGTGATGGTGATGGGGAGGGAAATGTGGTGTTTGGTTTTGCTGTAAAATAAACTTCAATTCATCAAACCCTAATACGCTCTCCCTTTCCAAATGTTGTCATCTAAACCAAACTTTGTTATGGAATTTACTTGCAAGAAATGTATTTTAAAGTCTCCTCCAGGTAGTGCTTTAATACCTTTCATAGGAAGCTTGGTACTTGCAGTGCCTTTCCTCTGACCGTGGTGGGAAAATATTTGTTAAGCTTTCTGTTCGTAATTAAAGGTGAGTTATTCCCAGAGAGCAAAGCAGCCTGGTGAAGGTCATGCTGTAAGAGTTTGGGAGACCTGGGAATAGATTTGTAGGTTCCCAAAATTTGCTTTGATGTCAGTAATATTACGATCAGATTGCCACTTGCCGAGTGACAGGCAGTGGACAGGGTGCTGTAACATGGCAATAGCTGTAATTTTCTCTTCGAGGGTTGAGCAGTGCTTCTTTTCAGATCACTCATTTGGGGAGAACCTGGAAAAAATAGATGATCCGTCCAACTGTAGTTGGGTATTTGTCAGAGATGTCTCTTCTATCACTCCCTCCTGCAGAGTGATGTCATAACAGAATTTGTGAACTTGTCTTATGGGGCAAGGTGAACTGGAAGACTGGCTTGTGGCAAAGGAGGTCTTGATGCATGCAAAAAACCAAATGGTTTGAGCCTGAACCAAGTTTTGTGGATGCTTTGCTTCTTAAACCCTTAAAGCATTCTGAAATCAATCTGGTAGTGTTGAGGTAACTTCTAAATTTTTTTTTCCTTGAAAGATTTTTTTTTTTCCTTTGCCTTTTTTTTGTGTGTGTGTGTGTATACAGGTGGCTGCAAACTGCTGCCCACCTCATGGCAGTGATAATATGAGAGAGGCTGCAGTAGTGCCATCTGCCACCAGTCACAAAGGGCCAGTTGTAGGGCCTGAACAGCTGAGTCCTACCAGAATTGCTCAAGCTATTCTGCCACTGCAAGTATGCTATGAAGCCTATTTGCAAGCCTTCATGCCGAAACAAACAGTGCACAGATGCAGGGATATTTACAGCACAGGCTCAATTTGTTTTACAAATATTGACATGAAATGGCTTGTTTGGCAGCAATATTTAGCAGGGAATTTTGGCTTTGCTCTTCACATCCCGCTGTAGCGGACTTCTTTGCCTTCAGATCCAAGCATTGGCAAGGCTGGCATACATGCAGAGTTGTGGTTTGTGTCTCTGCTTCCCTGTGGTGATGACGGCAGTCTTTTTCTTTTCTTTATCGGCGGTGCTTTTTTTGTTTCTTGTCATCCCCCTTCTTTCCCTCATTTTCAGGAGAAAGCAAGAACATACTGCTCCACTGATGGAAATCATTATGGATTGCTAAGTCTCGGCAGTACGTTCTGTATTTCATACAGCGGAGGGAAGCGTGCAGGTTTGTGGCTGGAGGCGGGCTGCCTGAATTGCTGGCTTACATGGAAACCGTGCTTCTTGGCCTCAGCTTTTGTTAGGTCTGTGGTATGAGACAGAGGTTAGACTTGAGCTTTCAGTTCCAGGTTGAGTGGTCTCAGGGAGACCAGGGAGGTTAGTTTTTCAGCATAATGTGGGGAAATACTTGGTTTCTTGCCGAGACTGTTAGTGTGGAGTAGAAGAAGTTGCCGCTTAGTTTGTCACTTTGTGGCAGGATAGCAGAGGTCCCCAGAGCGCCTGGGCTTAGGAGATGTAAGGCTGGGAAATGCCAGGTACCTGCCTTCCCTGCGCAGTTAGGCTCACTTGCGTTAAGTGCCATGCTGGAGCAGGGCCATGCTGAGCGCAACACACGCAGTCACCGCCTCTGCGTGCAGTATTGCAGATAAGGTCCTTGTTCACGGGAGATTTCAATCAGTTTGCGCAGGTGGATAGGTGCCTCCTGCTAGAGATGAAGGGGCAGCACGAGAATTGCTTGCAGCATTGAAGTGGTCACCGTTTGCTCCTGTGTGCTGAGATAGCGTATGTGGCTCTGTACACAATTAAACATGAAGCTATTTCAATTGTGAATAAAAGACCCACAAATGATGTGCCAAAAACATGTTTTATTCTAGCCTTTCTATGTTTTAATTAGGAAGTCCTTGCTGAGGCGTTTGATGGTGAATGAACAGTGGTGTGAGAGATGACAGAATATTGAATTAATAATGTCTGGTAAAATTTAGTCTTCTGTGTGATGGCTACTTTTTGTTGCTGTCAGTTTGAACAGAGCGCTCTCTGCTACCTTTTATTTATTTCTTTCCTCCCTGTAATACCTGGTGCTTCATTTCTGAGTTGAGGCTAACTGGTAGCAGGGGTAGAGCACAACGTTGCAGGTTGGTAAATCTTCAGAGTGTCCCAGAGAGATGGATCAGTCATCTTATGAGCAAGTATGCTGAGACTCGTGTTAGGGGAGACGACACGTTAATAGGAGCTGAGAGTCCCAGCTTCTGTTCCTGGCTCTCTGAACGATTCACTACTTGTTACTTTGTGCTGTTAAAAAAGGTGTATCTGTTTTCCAGGCAACTGAGTAAATATTGCCTGATTCATTAGTCAATGTTTATAAAGAGATTGGAGAACGTTGAAAGGAAAAATGCTACAGCAGCACAAATGAGTGCTCTTCATTTAATGCGTTCAGATGCTATTGGGATGGGCATGTAAGCAAGCAGAGGACTATTATTGAATGATTTTTAGTACCAGGCTGATAGAAATTTTGAAAATGGAAGGGCTTCATAGGGAGTTGAAAGCTTAAGATGTCTGCAAAAAAGAAAGTGTCTTGTCCTTTTGTGCGATCTCAGAGTTTGGATGCTGCTAACTGTAACAGTAGGTTGGGGTGCAGTGGAGCTGGTGTGTGCTGCATAGGCAGACAGACAGTCTGTGTGTGTGCTGCAGAGCCTCTGTGTCCCACAGCCCCTCATAGAAACTCTTGGCAAATCCTTATGGTGACAAGTAAAAAGTACAAAGTGATGTGCCTGGGAACACAATAAGATGAAATTACTGCTTGAGTGAAAGATGAAATTTTTGTTGCTTGTCTTTAAAGCAGACAAAGCTCCAGTCCCAGTTTGTGATGCCCCGAGGTCTGGTTTTGAAGAGTAATCAATATAAAGTTATCCTCTAGCCTTCTTGAGTAGGTTTTGTGATAGATCATGGGGTGGCCAAGGACTGATGTTCCTTGGAGGAGTGTAACTAGTTTGGGTGAAGTGGAAGGGGAAAGAAAGTAAAATGGCGTTCTTGAAGAGATGAAAATGTGTTTGGCAGGTTATAAAATGCATTGTGGTCAGGTACAGTTTTGAGGAGGTGGCAAAAGAGGTTGAAACTAGCTCTTTCCATCCTAAATGTGATTTGGTGAACACTCC